CATACGCATACACATAGTATATATGTGCTAAAAGTAAACAATTCAGTAATTACGCTAACACACATACACATATATAGTGTATGCCGGCATAGAAGTTGACTCCTAAAATTCGGATGTTCTACAGCCCTACTGTATGGAAAAAGGCTTTCTCTCATAAACAATTGACACTTCTTTTAAAACACTTGAGTCGAAAGTAATTTTTAACACAGAGTAAACCAGCCTAACCTAACCTTCCCTATGAATTAAGTCACTGATATTACAATGATCTACGTCAAACATAAACCAGACATGAGTTTCAGAAGTCCGTGGTGTGCTGCGAGAGTATGGAAAGTGTTACACAGCGAGTGTTAGGCATATTCACTTGTTTACCTCTCGGTGCAGAGGTTCAGTAAGTCGACCCCTGGTGCTGGAGAGATATTTTTGGGCTTTAAAAGTGTGTTTATATGTTAGCCTAATTACTGAATTGTTTCCTTTTTGATTCATCAATGACTATTATAAGCCGTTGGTGAACTGTTCAAAAACGTTGAATAGTAAATTCACAAACCACATTGAGCGACGAAACTGATATATATCTGTCTCGACATAAATGCATACAAACACACTGTAGCTCCTCGCAATAGGTCTGGTCAATCTGCCCGAGCCACGACTTCCTAGGTCATCCCACTGACCTCCACCCAGGATTGTCTCATGAAGCGACATCCTAATGGGCAGGGTCATTCACAGGAAACCGAACTAGCCTAAGTTGGCGGTCCCGTATTATACAAGTAACAGGTCCTATCCTTGTTGACTGATTTCATGGCTCCTGCTGCCAGGCCAATCCACCTACCGATTTGCTGGTCTGACAACCCAGAGGCATGAACTACACTACCAAGGTATGTAAAACTCTCTCTGACTTCAGTACTGAATGCATGTATCGACTAAACAAAATACTCAGCCCAACGTTCCCGAACCCCAACATGATCATGATCGGAGATGATCCATCCATCCACTCAGCGGACTGCAGGCAGGGCTTGGAAGGAGTTCGAAGGTCATTTACTAAGAAATGTCCTTCAGCCTCCTCAACAAGATTCCTGATGTACTCTTCCTTCTCCCTTCTCAGCAGTGTCCGAGACTTGCGCACCAAAGAACAGCATAAAACCCATCATCGAGCCGCACACACACACTTATATATATGTGTATGTATATATCTGTGTATTCGTGTGTGTGTATGTGTAAGAATATAGATATATATATGTATAGATGTAAATATAGATATCTATATTTATATATGTATATATTACACATACACATATAAATATGTGTGTATGTGTGTTTGCATATATGGATATATATATATATATATATATATATATATATATATATATATATATATATATATATATATATATATATATGTGTGTATATATATGTACATACGCACACATACACGTGTGTGTGTGTGTGCCTGTAAATATATGTAAATATATGTATCCAGACTGTATATACATATGTCTATATATATATATATATATATGTCTGTGTGTGTGCGTATATTTCGTTATATTCAAATACATGAATAATTCTGATAGCAATCGTGTTATCATTAGCATGAATTTCATCATGGTGATAATAGATATCATGGTTATGATTACCGTGATTAAATATACATGCAATAATGGCAATGATAATATAAAAGGATTTAAAGTATAATGCAAAAGAATAAATATCGAGTGACAGGGCAGTCATAATACTTATCTCGAGTATAATCATGTATATATATATATACATATATGTATATATATACATATATGTATATATATACATATATGTATATATATATGTATATATGTATATATATATATATATATATATATATAAATATATATACATATACATATGTATGCATATACATGTAAAGGGTGATAATGGTGGTATCAATAACATCGCCGACGCTATTACTAATATTAATAATAATTATGGACTCGTTCCTCGCCAGGCATGACGAATGCATGGATGGAATGGATTCCGTGATGGACATGATGGAAGACTGGGACGACTGGAGGTGGACGATGAAGCCTCGTCTTTGCCTTGCAAGTCGACAAAGGTCGTGTCCCTACATCACACCCGCCTGGAGATCAATGAGGCAGTTCCGCCCACTTCTCGACGACGCTCCCTTGCTGTTTATTCGTTCCGGCGACACTCGGTCTAACAGGAAAAGTGAGGAAAATCCCGACAAACCTCAACTAAAAAAGCAAGGAGCCACACAAAATAACAAGAAATGTAGTAGTAATGACAAGGAGGAGCAAGTGCATAGTGTAGACACCAAAGACTGTAGAGAAAGCAGCAATGACAAGAAGAGCTTAAAGAAGGAGTGGCGGTACAGCGTAAACGTGGGCGGATGTGACGAAGTGCGGGCGTTCACGGAAGGTGGGCTGCTGGTTGTGGAGGGTCGTGGACGTGGCAGTGACTCGTCAGCGATGGTTCGTCACGTGACAACACTTCCTCCACACATTAAAGCCGAGACGTTGACGGCGACGCAGAAAGACGGACAACTTGTGTTGAGCCACAAAAGCGACGCAATCCCTCCTTCAGTTGTGAAGATCCCCATCACCAAAGCTGAAGAGAAAAAGATTCTGGAAGGCAAAGAAGTCTCCAACGATCAATAGGAAACAAACGCTACGCAGACAGAGGATTCAAGTAAAGAATGATTTTAAGAAAACGTCGATGTAACTTTTCTGAAAACATCACACAATCACTGTACAAATGTATAATTTAAGTATACCTATTGTAGCATTCCAATTCATCATATTGATGAATCTATTTCTAAACTTGAATAAAGTTATTAAATAATCATATTTTTAAAGAACCCTTCCTTATAAAAACGTATTTTACATACCCATACTCATTTAACATACCCTTAACTAGACAAAAACAGAAATGATCTTGAAAATGCATTAAACTGTAGATAAAGTAGTACTTGATTTCTAAAGATCGATGCCATTATTTGATGCAGAAGACGAAATTACCAATGACTCATTCCGTTGAATGTCGTGGCAAGGATATTCGAGACATTTACACATACATATAGGCTGAGCATTAGTATTATTCAAAATGTTACAATTACCATATCTATGGATTTGAACATGCGCAAACACATAGTTTGTATGTGCATGGATATGTGCTAAAAGTAAACAATTCGGTAATTATGCTAACACACACAATCATGTACACAGTATATGCCAGTGGAGAAGTCGACCCCTAAAATTCTGATGTGTAATAATCCAGTACCTCAACTTCTCCAGCCCTACTGTATGGAAAAAAGACAATTGTAGGACACTTTTCTTTAAAAAACACTATAGTCACAAGTGATTTTTAACAGAGAGCAAACCTGCCTAACTAACTCAACCTAAGAATTACTGATAATTAATATAATCAATAATTTAGTTTTATTCCATTCGTTACAATGGATATTCTTTGTGTGACATAACTGTTTTATTTTGCTTCTAAATTACCTCCTGTGTGTAAGTTAGGACATGGGTTACCATCCACGAGGTCTGAGCGCAGGAAATTGATGTTACTATGTTCTGCATTAAACATACCAAACATGAGTTTCAGAAATAACTGGTGTGCTGTGAGAGTATGGGAGTATGGTGTTGCACAGCGAGTGTTAGGCATTTTCACTTGTTTACTTCTGAGTGCAAAGGTTTACATTTTATATTCGTACAGGTCGACCCCTGGTATTGGAGAGAGATTTTTGGGCTTCAAAAGTATGTATATACGTTAGCCTATTTACTGAATTGTTTCCTTTTAGATTCATCAGTGACTATTATAAGCCATTGGTGAATTGTTCAAAAACGTAGAATAGTAAATTTACAGATCACAATCCTTAACCCCTTGGTGCCGGGTATGACGTGTACGTACGTGCTATGCCCACCGTGAGTACTTGTTTGATTGTTTTTACGCATAGATGGCAACACTTGTACTAACTCCCCAATGAGCCATCTACGAGTACCGCCCGTCTCGCCCGTTTACCCGTTTCTTTGATTTACAAAATATTTTACGTAATCTTATTTTGCTGTTACTAATGTTAAAAAACATTATAAAAATTATAATGTTTATGATGAAAATAACACCATCGATTTTCATAGCACTAGTGAAAAATACGTTTTTCCCGCCATTTCAAATCAGGCGCTAGCAGAGCCATCTATCGGCAGACATTTCACGAAAAATATAGAAAGTGGGCACAGCATTTTCTCCATTTCTTGTTCATTTTCCCCGGCACCATTGGGTTAAGGGGCACACTGGGTGGCTGGTGTAAATGCATACAAAGAAAAAAAAACTATCTATATCTGTATCTATAAGTATAGGTATAGATATAAAGGTGGTATAGATATAGATATAATGGTGGTATCTATATATCTATATAGATAGATATAGATATAGATATAATGGTGTTATATAGATATAATGGTGCCTGTCCTTCACGGGGCAGGCCCGTCCTAGCCCTTGTCCAAAAAGGGAGTTTCATGACGCTAAACCATATAGATATAAAGGTGGTATCAATAAAACTACCGACGCTGTTAATAGGTATCATACTTATAATAGTAATAACAATTAATAAAATCTTGCCTATGTTACATTATATATTATTAGATAAATTAATGAGGTAAGAAAATTAAAAATTTTAACAATGACAGCAAAAATAAACAGCAACTGAGGGGAAAATGTACACATTAATTACTAAATAAAACCATGAGAATCGTATAGAATGTGCAAGAATATTCTGGAATCTCCGAGAACGTTCTCGTTTTCCCTAGTGCTTTCGCGCGGCGTCTGGGAACGTTTTCTGTTAATCAAGTATCGGTTTTCCGACCACCAGAAAGAGATACCACAGCAGATACTTGAGTTCAAGAAAGCTGCTTCACATCGAACAGTTAAACATCTGATAACATAATATAGCGCAAAGATGCTTCGTGTCTTTGGTCTCCATCCAACGCAGAGGGATATTATGGACTCGTTCCTCGTCAGGCATGACAACTGCATGGATGCAATGGATTCCGTGATGGACGACTGGGATGACAGGAGGTGGATGATAAGGCCTCGTCTTTGCCTCGCACGTCGACAAAGGTCGTGTCCCTACATCACACCCGCCTGGAGATCACTGAGGCAGTTCCACCCACTTCTCGATGACGCTCCCTTGCAGTTTGTTCGTTCAGGCGACGACACTCGGTCTGCTAAGAAGAATGAGGAAAATGTCAGAAGAAATAACAACAAAAAACAAAAAATCGCATGGAATGACAAGAAATGTCAGAATGGGAGTGTGAAGAAGCAAGAGCATAGTGTAGACACCAAACACTGTAGAGAAAGCAGCAATGACAAGAAGAGCTTAGAGAAGGAGTGGCGGTACAGCGTAGACGTGGGCGGATGTGACGAAGTGCGGGCGTTCACGGAAGATGGGCTGTTGGTTGTTGAGGGTCGTGGACGTGACAATGATTTGTCAATGATGGTTCGTCACGTGACAACACTTCCTCCACACATCAAAGCCGAGACGTTAACGGCGACGCAGAAAGACGGACGACTTGAGTTGAGCCAGAAAAGCGACGCAATCCCTCCTTCAGTTGTGAAGATCCCCATCACCAAAGCTGTAGAGAAAAAGACACTGGAAGGCAAAGAAATCTCCAACGATCAACAGGAAACAAACGCCACGGAGACAGAGGATTCAAGCAAAGAATGATTTTAAGAAAACGTCGATGTAACTTTTCTGAAAACATCACACAATCACTGTACAAATGTATAATTTAAGTATACCTATTGTAATATTCCAATTCATCGTATTGATGTATCTCTAAATTTGAATAAACATATTATATACATATATATTTTAAGGAACCCTTCCTTATAAAAACGTATTTTGCATATCCAAACTCATTTCACATAAGCCATAAACATTTCGGTAAGAAAACTTAAAAAGAACCCTTAACTAGGCAAAAAAAAAAAAAAAAAAAAAAAAAAAAAAAGGCTTAAAAATGGAGAAAAAGTGGTACTTGATAATTAACGATTGATACCATCATTTGACGAAGAAAAGGAAATTAACAATTAATAATTCCGTTGAATGTCGTGACAAGGACATTTGAGTCAAACATACATATATGAACGTCTGAGCATTAGAATTATCTAAAATGTTACAATTACCATATCTATGGATTTGAACATACGCATATACATACTATATATATGCTAAAAATAAAACTATTCAGTAATTAAGCTAAAACACACACACATATATAGTACATGCCGGCATAGAAGTTGACTCCTACAATTCAGATGTGTAATAATTCAGTAGCTCCACGTCTACAGCCCTACTGTATGGAAAAGGCCTTGTCTCATAAACAATTGACACTTCTTTTAAAACACTTTAGTCGCAAGTAATTTTTAACACAGAGTAAACCAGCCTAACCTAACCTTCCCTATGAATTAAGTCACTGATATTACTATAATCTACGTCAAACATAAACCAGACATGAGCTTCAGAAGTCCGTGGTGTGCTGCGAGAGTATGGAAAGTGTTACACAGCGAGTGTTAGACATATTCACTTGTTTACCTCTCGGTGCAGAGGTTCAGTAAGTCGACCCCTGGTGCTGGAGAGATATTTTTGGGCTTTAAAAGTGTGTTTATATGTTAGCCTAATTACTGAATTGTTTCCTTTTTGATTCATCAATGACTATTATAAGCCGTTGGTGAACTGTTCAAAAACGTTGAATAGTAAATTCACAAATCACACTGAGCGACGAAACTGATATATATCTATCTCGACATAAATGCATACAAACACACTGTAGCTCCTCGCAATAGGTCTGGTCAATCTGCCCGAGCCACGACTTCCTAGGTCATCCCACTGACCTCCACCCAGGATTGTCTCATGAAGCGACATCCTAATGGGCAGGGTCATTCACAGGAAACCGAACTAGCCTAAGTTGGCGGTCCCGTATTATACAAGTAACAGGTCCTATCCTTGTTGACTGATTTCATGGCTCCTGCTGCCAGGCCAATCCACCTACTGGTTTGCTGGTCTGACAACCCAGAGGCATGAACTACACTACCAAGGTATGTAAAACTCTCTCTGACTTCAATGCCGAATCCATATATCGACTAAACAAAATACTCAACCCAACGTTCCCGAACCCCAACATGATCATGATCGGAAATGATCCATCCATCCACTCAGCGGACTGCAGGCATGGCTTAGTAGGAATTCGAAGGTCATTTACTAAGAAATATCCTTCAGCCTCCTCAGCAAGATTCCTGATGTACTCTTATTTGTCCCTTCTCAGCAGTGTCCGAGTCTTGCGCACCAAAGAACAGCATAAAGCCCGTAATCGAACCGCACACACTCACCCCACGCACACACACACACACACACTTATATATATGTGTATATATATCTGTGTATTCGTGTGTATGTGTAAGAATATAGATCTATATATGTATAGATGTGAATATAGATATTTATACTTATATATGTATATATTACACATACACACATATAAATATGTGTGTATGTGTGTTTGCATATATGGATATATATGTACACACACACACACACACACACACACGTGTCTGTGTGTGCCTGTAAATATATATGTAAATATATGTATCCAGACTATATATACACATATGTATATATGTATATATATGTATATATATATATAACTGCCGCGATAGCTCAGTGGTTAGAGCACTGGACTCCGACCCTCGTGGTCCCGGGTTCAATTCCCCGTCGCGGCAGTTGTAAAAAATGCCTACGCTCTGACTGCTGACTCGAGCCCGAGAAAACGACATATCGCCTTGAGAAGTAAAACGCAGGTGTCGTAGGGGAAGTCACCGCCGTGGCACAAGTGTTAACGCGCCGAACCGCGGTTGATTAGGAAAGGCATTCAATCAGGCAAGGGTGACACTGCCATAAAAAAAAACTCTCAATACTGAATTGAGAGAGGCCTATGTCCTGCAGTGGAATGAATGGCTGTTGAAAAAAAAAATATATATGTCTGTATGTGTGCCTATATTTCGTTATATTCAAATACATGAATAATTCTGATAGCAATCGTGTTATCATTAGCATGAATTTCATCATGGTGATAATAGATTATGGTTATGATTACCATGATTAAATATACATGCAATAATGACAGTGATAATCTAAAAGAATTTGAAGTATAATGTAAAAGAATAAATATCGAGTGATAGGGCAGTCATAATACTTATCTCGAGTATAATCAAGAATATATTTATACACACACACACACACACACACACATATACATATATATATATATATGTAGATGACGATAATGGTGGTATTAATAACATCGCCGACGCTATTACTAAGTATGACATTGATAATAGTATTAACAGTAAATAACAAAATCCTACCCACATTATATTACATCTGATTGGATAATCTAATAAGGTAAGAAAACTATACTAATTTTAACAATGACAGCAAAAATAAACAGCAAATCCATTAGAATCGTATAGAATGTGCGAGAATATTCTGGAATCTCCGAGAACGTTCTCGTTTTCTCTAGTGCTTTCGCGCGGCGTCTGGGAACGTTTTCTGTGGATATAAACGCGCGAGAAGCGAGGGTGAACTCAGACACAGTTCAGCTGCCAGAGCGACAAGTTAACTAAGTATCGGTTTTCCGACCACCAGAAAGAGATATCACAGCGGATACTTGAATTCAAGAAAGCTGCTTTACATCGAACATTTAAATATCTGCTAAAATAAGATATCGCAAAAATGCTTCGTGTACTTGGTCTTCATCCAACACAGAGGGATATTATGGACTCGTTCCTCGCCAGGCATGACAACTCCATGGATGTAACAGATTTCGTGATGGACATGATGAACGACTGGGACGACAGGAGGTGGACGATGAGGCCTCGTCGCTGCCTCGCACGTCGACAGAGACCATGCCCCTACATTACCCCTGGTTGGGCATCACTTCTCGACGACGCTCCTTTGCTGATTATTGGTTCAGGCGACGACACTCGGTCTGCCAAGAAGAATGAGGAACATTTCAAAAGAAATAACACCCAAAAACAAAAACTCACACAGAATGACAAGAAAAGTCACACTGGGACCATGAAGGAGAAAGAACAGAGTGTAGAAACCACAGATAGAGAAATCAGCAATGACAAGAAGAGCTTAGAGAAGGAGTGGCGGTACAGCGTAAACGTGGGCGGATGTGACGAAGTGCGGGCGTTCACGGAAGATGGGCTGTTGGTTGTGGAGGGTCGTGGACGTGACAGTGCCTCGTCAGTGATGATTCGTCACGTGACAACACTTCCTCCACACGTCAAAGCCGAGACGTTAACGGCGACACAGAAAGAGGGACGACTTGTGTTGAGCCAGAAAAGCGACGCAATCCCTCCTTCGGTTGTGAAGATCCCCATCACCAAAGCTGAAGAGAAAACGACACTGGAAGGCAAAGAAGTCTCCAACGATCAACAACAACAACAATCAAGTACTACGCAGACAGATGATTCAAGCAAAGAAAGAGATTAAGAAAACTATATAACTTTTGTCAAAATATCTCAGTCATTGTACAAAAGGTAGAAATGAAGCATGTCAGTTGTATCATTCCAATTCATCATATTGATGTACTAAACTTAAATAAAGTTATCAAATAAACATATTTCTATAAACTCGTATCTTACATACCCTTACTCATTTCTCTAAAGCTTAAGACAAAATTAACAATGAATCCTACCATTGAAATGTGACATAAGTATATCCATATTTATATAAAATGCATGTATCATATATTTTATACCTGTTATATAAATCTATATACATATATATACACACAAACACATATATATACAGTGTTTTAAAGGCACTCTCAGTTACAAGAAATATTTCGAATAATGAAAAACACTTCCACACATCTAATCAGAGACGTTGACGAAAGGCTTGTCGTGAGCCACAAATTCAGTTGCGAAGATCCCCATCACCAAAACTGAAGAGAAAAAGACACTGGAAAGCAAAGAAGTCTCCATCGATCAACAGTAACAGGAATCTAACAGTATTGAGACAGAGGTGTTCAAACAAGATCGAGATTCAGAAAAATATCGACATATCTCTTATGGAATTTATCACGGTATAAATGTATATTTTAAGTATTATCTATCATATTATTATATCATGTTGGCATATCCTATCTCGTTGTAAATAAAACTGTTCAATGAATGTTAATAGTTTTATTGATCATTTCTTTAAAAATATGTCTTGCCTACCAAACAGACAACGGATATAAATGAATATCCAGGGTAAATGGCAATAAGCAGTTATAATGGTTAAGGCATACGGATATTGATGAAGAAGCTTTATTTATGTCATTTTGAAGAGTAATTTTGACAACACCCAACCCATATAATTTTTGATGGGAAAACCTCGATGGAGACTTAAATAGATAGAAAAGAAATAATTATCTTGAAAATACGTGAGATATGCAGATGAATCAGTTCTTAATATCTAACGATGACTGTCCTCATTTGAAGACTATTCGAAAGGAAAGTTACATTTGAGAAATGAATATCAAATAATGTCTGTTCGTCAGTCTTCGAGACTGATAATAAATCTATTTAATTCGATTGTGGTGACTTGCAATAATTTGATTTGTTTCTACGCGTCAAAACACTAGTTATATCCATAGTTTTCAGAATATTGCTCTCTCTATATAATTAAACACATATATATACAAAGTCTGTTCGATACTGTGATGCAAATGACATTTGGATGATATATGCACCATGTAATTATATATGCATATATACCTGTGTTCATATACATATATGTGTATATATAAGTATATATAAATACAAATGCACATGCACACACACACACACACACACATTCACACATTATCATATATATCATTATCATCACTATTATCATTATTGTTATTATCATTACTATCAACTTATTATTGTTATCATTATCATGGTAACCGCTATTATTTTCCTTATTATCATTATCAATATCACTGTGAATTATTGGTGAAAAGTCCTGCAGGCTAATACATACTCGTACAGTACGTACTGTATGTGTGTGTGTCCAATACAGCACGTATGCATTAACCTTCATGACTGAATTGTTTGGTTTCGCCAATAATCCACAATGATAATAATAATAATGATAATAGTTATTATAATGATAACGGCAATAAGTTGATAATGATGATAGTAATAATGATAATAACAGTAATAATGGTAGTGATAACAGCGATAACGATACTGGTGATGAGTAATACACCATAATCCACAAAAGCATAGAAAAAATCCTTTACATCAATGCCATTGTTGTTATTGGTAGTGTTAACAATTACGTACATTATCATCATCATCGTCTTAATTACCAACATCATTTTCTCTATCACTATTGTTGTCATAATTGTCATCGCCTGCATCATCTTCACCGTTGTTTCGTCATAGTTATTATTATCATTATGACAATTATGATGACAGTCATGATTATCATTATTGTCTTATTATTAACATTATTATTATTATTATTAATGCCTTTACTATTATCACCATTTTTACTGTTGTTGTTAATACTACCATTCTTCTTATTATTATCATCTTTATCATTGTCACTGTCATTACCATCATCCTAATCGTACACATATGTAATGGTTATGGTAATTAAAAAACAATATCAAGTAAGAGATTTATAGCATATAATGACAATGGCAATCATTACGCAAATTGAATATGATTATAGAACGAAAGCAAGTGATTGTTGACAAAAATGGTGAAAGTGAGAGCCGCCATATCAATTACCAGTGCTACTTCTGTCCATGAACTTAATAAAAGTAACAATAGTAATATCTGAAAATAAAACTTGCTCACATTACATTGTAACTTATTGAATGAACAGGTTTAATTAGAAAGGCTTGATTTCGGCGATGGCAACAAAAATGAAATAAATATTTGCACATTAATTCTATGCAAAACCATTTGAAATCTATAGAAGGTCCGAGAATGTTCTAGAATCTCCGAGAACGTTCTCGTTTTCTCTAGTGCTTTCGAGTGACGTCTGGGAACGTTTTCTGTGGATATAAACGCGCGAGAAGCGAGGGTGAACTCAGACACAGTTCAGCTGCCAGTGCGACAAGCTAACCAAGTATCGGTTTTCCGACCACCAGAAGGATATACCACAGCGTAAACCTCGAAGCAAAGAAGCCAGCTTTGCAGCGAAGTATCGAATAACTCACATCAATAGGAAAAAGAAAAACAAAAGACAAAGATGCTTCGTGTCCTGGGTCTACAGCCAACACAGAGGGATATTATGGACTCGTTCCTCACCAGACATGGCGGCCGCATGACTGCACTGGATTCCATGATGGACATGATGGACGACTGGGACGACAGGAGGTGGACGATGAGGCCTCGTCGCTGCCTCGCACGTCGACAGAAATCATGCCCCTACATACCTGGTTGGGCATCACTTCTCGACGCCGCTCCTTTGCTGATTGTTCGCACAGGCGACGACACTCGGTCTGCCAAGAAGAATGAGGAAAATTTAAGAAGGAATAACACCGAAAAACAAAAACTCACACAGAATGACAAGAAAAGTCACACTGGGACCATGAAGGAGAAAGAACAGAGTATAGAAACCACAGATAGAGAAATCAGCAATGACAAGAAGAGCTTAGAGAAGGAGTGGCGGTACAGCGTAAACGTGGGCGGATGTGACGAAGTGCGGGCGTTCACGGAAGATGGGCTGTTGGTCGTGGAGGGTCGTGGGCGTGACAGTGACTCATCAGTGATGATTCGTCACGTGACAACACTTCCTCCACACGTCAAAGCCGAGACGTTAACGGCTACGCAGAAAGAGGGACGACTTGTGTTGAGCCACAAATGCGACGCAGTCCCTCCTTCAGTTGTGAAGATCCCCATCACCAAAGCTGAAGAGAAAAAGACTCTGGAAGGCAAAGAAGTCTCCAACGATCAACAGCAACATGAACCAAATACTACGCAGACAGAGGATTCAAGCAAAGAAAGAGATTAAGAAAACGACTATATATTTTTTGTAAAAATATCTCTCTCATTGTACAAAGTTATAAATGAAGCATGTCAGTTGTATCATTCCAATTCATCATATTGATGTACTAAACTTAAATAAAATTATCAAATAAACATGTCTATAAACTCTTCCTTAAAAAACGTATCTTACATATCCATACTCATTTCAAATAACCTACACATAAGAAAACACATGAGAAAACTAAATTGAAGCCTTAGTTATGTAAAGAAAGAAATAGGCCTACTCTTATTGAAAATGCATAAGAAATGGAGATAGAGTAATAATTAATTTCTAAAATTTCTCCGAAGCTAAAGACAAAATTAACAATTAATCCTAACATTGAAATGTGACATGAGTATGTCGTGACGAGGACATTGAAGACATACCTACCTACATTATATATATACACACATACATTATATATATATAACATGGATATGTTAACATATCTATATCCGTATTCATATACAAATGCATATATTATATATGTTATACATATCATGTAAATCTATATACATATACACACAAATATACACGGTGTCTTAAAAAGTAACTCAGTTACAAGAAATATTTGGAATTATGAAAAACAGGTTTTAATTTGAGGAAGAGTTTAATTTAAAGTATATGGTGCGAATGATTAGTGCTCTACATGGCGACCGTCAATGTCTCTAGATAGCTTAAAGGAATAGGATGCTTCCTGAAACACAGCATTTGTGGTGTTATATTTTGAACTGTATTGGTTATGAGATTTTAAAGTTCAGCAACATCACTAATTATCCTGCCAGTGTACTCCTTAGATTTAATGAAACACCAGGCATAAAAATCTGAAGGTGTTGATCGGGGGAACGTGCTGCCCGTAATCGATGTCCGCTGCGACCAATCCGGTCCTCTGAAATTTAATTCGCAACTCACGAACTGCTTTTGTCTTTTGGTACTTTTTCATGAAAATGTATTTCAAGTTTGTTTCTGATTTGTTCGTATGACATGTTTTTATTCTCGCTATTACTACAACCATTCGTTCGTCTGTGTTTATTAAATGGGTTTGAGAAAAGATATGTAAATCATAGTGCCAGTGTCGAGCGTGGAATACTATTGTGTCGACAGCAATATTCCTGACATTATATAAATATAATGTAACCGTGATACATAAAGTGTCTTTGTGTATCATTGTGTTTTTATAATTCCAATTATTTTTTGTAATAGTGACTTTTGTGTGTATGTATATCATATATGTCGGCATAATTTAGTTTTCAGACTATATTTGTCGCCAAAATAAAGCAGCTCCACCTCCCCAGCCCTATTGTTTGGGGGAAAAACCTACGGACACTTTTACTCCTAAAACACCTTAGTCACAAGTCAGTTCTAACACAGAGTAAACCAAGTTAGCCTAACCATAACAAACGTAACATACCCTTCGAGTTAAGTCACTAATATCACTATATTCTCTACATTAAACAGATATGACTATCAGTAGAAAATAACCGTGGTGGGCTGCGAATTATGGGAAATGGTGTACAGCGTGTTAGGGAGGCATTTTCACCTGATTACTTCTCAGTGGTAAAGGTTCACATTTTATTTTTTTCGTACCTGTTGACCCCTGGTTTTGGAGAGAGAT